AAATAAACAGGAAAAATTGCAAGTGAAAAACAAACAAACAAAAAAGATGCAATACATGGGAAGAAAAAATTGAAAAATATATGAAAAAGGATGAAAAAAAGATAATAAGAAAAATAGAGAGGGGGAAAAAAAGAAGCCACAATATCTGAGGTAGTAGGAATGAGAAAAAGAACAAAAGAATTATAAACAGGAAAACTGCAAAAGGAAAAACAAATAATGAGAAGAACCAAAAGAAAGAAAAAGAAAAGGGAACAAGGAAAAGGAAAGAACAGAAGAAGAAAAAAAAAAAAAGAAGAACAAGAACCAGGTGCAGATGTGGTTGCATCATCTGGGCATGGTTGCTGTCTCCCATTGAGACAAAGACAACAATAGAAAAACCATCAAAAAAGTAAAAGCAAGTGGACAAAAACCACACTGCATAAACAAATAGGAACCATGACCAAAAAAGAAAAAGAAAAAGAAAACCCATAATATCTGGGGAGGGAGCAATAAGAGAAAAGAGGTAGAGTAAGAGAATAATAAGGAAAAAAAAAAAAAAGGGAAAAATGCAAAAAGTGAAACAAGGAATGGGGTTAACCACAAGATAGAAAAAAAAAAAAATGAGACTCAGGAACAGAGAAGAGGGAAAAACTGAAAACTAGAACCTGGGAAGGGAATAATAAAGAATAATAACAAAAAGGACTAAATAATAGTAAGAGTAATAGTAATAATTTTAAAACAAACAAAAACAAACAAACTAAAAGAGGAAAAAAAAAATCTTGGCAGGGCACCCAGGCTCTGTCAGAGCACAGACTGAGATGGAATTCCATCCTGCCCAGAAGGTGGGTGGGAGTGAGGGATGGCCGTACCTCTGTTCAACAAGAGTGTGTGAGGTACAAGAGTAACAAGGGAAATATCACACCTTTCCAGTTGTTGGCATCCAGAATGCCCTTGTGGTTCCCAGCAGTGGAGCCTATCCTTAGGTCCCTGGAATCTGAGAGAACACTGTTGGTTTAAATATACAAAATGGTCAAACTGCTTGTAAACATTCAAAATGGCTGCGCCCTCCGGACAGACAAAGTCCACAGCTCACCCCATTTCCCTCTTCCCTGCTTCCCCTTTTATTCACTGGGCACCAGTGCAGTCCTCTGTGTAGCCCCTGCCTAGTGGGGCCAATTCTTAGGTTAACTCTTTGGGAGCTCTGGTGGTGTAATGCCTAAGACACTTGACTGCTAACCAGAAGACTGGCAGTTCAAAGCCACCAACCACTCCTCAGAAGGAAGATTGGGCAATCTACTTCCGTAGTGATACCACCTGCAAAACCAAGGAGGGGTCTCTCTATGAGTCAGATCTGATTTGACAGCAGTGAGTTTGGTTTTTGGTTTCTTAGATCCTGATACCACTTGGCAATGTCCAAGTTGTCTGTGCCATCAGGATGGCTGATTGACCACAGGACCCTATGCCTCCTTTTTTTGGGGTTTTCATGCAGATTCTTCTACTAGTTGGGGTTTAGTCCACTTCTGTATCCTTCCTTTCAAAGCTCAGGGCTCCAGGGTTATCTCCTGTATCTGTGTTAATTGGTTCCCCTTTTCTTTGTTGACCAGGGTCTGTGTAGTTTGCCTATTCTGCCATCTTACTGGAACTCTCCTTTGCCCTTTTCAAAATTAGATTGTTTGTTTCTTTGCTGTTAAGTTGTTGGAGTTTTCTATAAATTTTTATAGAGTTAAGTCCTTTGTCAGATATATTTTTGCCAAATATTTTTTTTTCCCCAATCAGGAAGGGAGTGTATCAGGGTTGTATCCTTTCACCATACTCATTCAATCTGTATGCTGAGCAAATAATCCAAGAAGCTGGACTATATGAATAAGAATGTGACATCAAGATGGGAGAAAGAGTCATTAACTCCCTGTGGTATGCAAATGACACAACCTTGCTTGCTGAAAGTGAAGATGACTTGTAGCACTTGCTGAGGAAGATTATAGACTACAGTCTGCAGGGTGCATTACACCTCAATATAAACAAAACAAAAAAACTCACAATTGGACCCATAAGCAGCATCATAATAAATGGAGAGAAGCTTGAAGTTGTCAAACATTTCATGTTACTTGGATCCACCATCAACACCAATGGAAGTAGCAGTCAAGAAATCAGACAACATACTGCACTGGGGAAATTTACTGCAAAAGATTTCTTTAAGGTGCCTAGAGAACAAAGATACC